TTGCCAGCCCAGCCTTAAATGGTGACAAGCTGTTTGCGTCCACTGTATGATCTTCCCTGTTGATGTCTGGGAAGTTAAATCACACATAAGGACAAAGGCAGTTGATCTAGAAGCGTCCCTTAATTCCTTGTAGGATAATTCATCAGTGTCATTGACCTGGCTGCACGGTCAATAGTAGACTTCCACAATAACATCCACTTTATTTGCTTTCCCCTTCATCCTTACCCAGAGGCTCTGAACCATGTCGTCATGAACTCAAACTGCCATACAATCCGCCCTTCCCTTACACACAGTGCCACCCCCTCACCTTGCCTGCCCTGCCTGACTCTCCTGAAGAACCTATAAAACGTCCATCCCGGCATCCCAGTCACAGTACTCATCCCGCCAGGTTTCACTTATGCCAATGGTGTTGTAGCTCTGGGACTGGACCAAAGCTTCCAGCTCTTCTTGCTCACTTCTCATGCTGTGTGCATTAGTATAAAGACATTTCAAATGTGCTCCAGTGTACTCAGCACATTGTGGAGCATACTGAAGGACCTCATCAGCACACTGTTCCTCAAACATTGTCCTGCCTCCCCCAGACTTATCTTTAGCAAGCCTGGTTTTATCCCTTTCGTCCTCGAAATCTAGTTTAAAGCTCTTTCAATGAGCTCTGCTAACTCCTGCCACAAAGACCCTTTTCCGCCTTTGAGACAGGTGTATCCCTTCTGTTGCCAGCAGGCCTGGTGTCTTGTAGACCAACCCATGATCAAAAAACCCCAAATTTTGCCAGTGACACCAGGCTTGAAGCCCATATTGATCTGCTGTGTCTTCCTGTTTCTTCCCTCATCGTTTCCAGTCCAGGTCCCATCAGCCACTGTCACGCAAGCTGCAGGCTCCCGGTGGGTCTCTCCACTCCCCTTCATGTTCCCCTGGTTCAGGAAACCCCCTTACAAACTGCGCTAGAGCACTCTGCTGCAGATTGTGCCAGCACCAGAGCCACTCGCCTTGGCATCAAGTTTATTACATGGAGATAATGTGCTAGGTTTAGATGAAAGCAGTCATTGGTAAGGTCTGAACTGTGCTGTAAAAATAGCTAATGTATATTATATTTTTCTCCTGCATAAATAGTCTAAAGCAATGCCTTTAACTTTGCCTAGGATATTCCCTTTTGAAATAGGAAAGAATATCTGAATCTCAAAGTCTTCAGCCCTCAATTGGCTACTTCATTTGTTATCTCATATGAAGCACTGTATTTGTCATTGAAAGGTTTCATGGTATTGCACTTCTACAGAAGTGCTTCTATTTCACAGCAACAAGAAAAAAAAAGAAAGACTGAGGAAAAAAGTGATTAAAAAAGACAAAGCCCACAAAATAAAAGGACTTGTATAACATGACAGGAAAATGTCAAAAGGTGTTAAGCGCAATGAAGTTTCTTTGCAAACTTTATTTGCTGAATTCGTTAGCCAAATAAAAAGCAGTATAGTTAGTCTAGCCACTATGGCTTTGATGGCAGCGATGAAAAGTGAGTGGGTGAAATTACAAATATTACCAGAGAAGACAGACAAGACTATTACCTACTACATAGTTTTACTCTAACAGCAAATGACTCACAAGTATACTCACCGTGACAAAGTCATGGATTTCCATATCTCTTCTATATTTGTTTGTGTTAGCTCTCCACGGAACACGAGTTTGCATGCTGGTACTTCCCCTATAGCTATACTGTGTCGCTTGTACCACATTTCAGAGTTCTGAAATGAGAAAAAACACTCCTCATTAACTGGTGAATTTTCAACTATTAAATAGTATAGTATATTTATAGTATAGCATGTTCCCCATTACAAGTATTTTAAATATTCCTAAATTCCAGTAAAGTCTCCAGGATGCGAGTGAGTGCCTAGGTTTCACAGATGGACAGCATCTTTTCTCAGTTACGTAACTTGTCCAAAGCTGAAAACTCACGTGTGTCAGAATAGCCATTAAAGTTCAGGAGTCCATGGCCTCTAGTCCTGTGTTAAGATCCTCTCCATGATTAAAATGGAGTCCCATCAGATCTAGTACACCATTATAACAGAATAAAGTAAAGCAGAGAATGCAAGAGACTACTATCCTTTATTCAACCTTCACATCCAAGCTCAGTGCTTGAAGATTGTCGTCAACATGTCGATGGGTTGACATACAATACGGTTTGTGTCAGCAATGTACTTTTCAAGGCAAAATGCCTAATCATTCCCAGTTCTTTGATTTAGATCACAGAGAAGTCCTAAAGCACATTGACAGTATTCCTTGTGATCACAACCAAACCACAAAATGCACTCCAGGAATGCACTTAATTACTCCAAGCACTAACCATGTGTCGTTCCATGACACTAGACTAGAGCTAGACTGAACCAAACAGCATCCTCTGAAATTAGTATCTGGTCCTCCACATCAGTATTTCACTACACAGAGCCATGCCCATCAACCCACACTCAGCCAGTAAGTGCTCTGTTGATCCTGGGGCAATTTAAGCTGCCACCACTTTCAGCTACCTGCCTACTTCACCACTCCAGCAGAAGCTACACCTTTCTACAAGACAGCCAGCAGAAAGAAGCTTATTTCTTTGCCTCAGTTACTTCAACTTATAGTCCACTGTATTAACCAAAACTGCCAATGAGAGATTTTGAGCTATGCCAGACTACATGCTATAGCGTCTGAGTCAGATGTATATAGGCAATCTTTTGCTAACTCTTATCAGGCCAAGATGCTTGCATGGGAATTTAGAGCAGAGAATTGGAGGCTGTAACATGTTAAAACTGCAGCAAATACTCGCTCAGTAACTAAATACCTTATTCTCTTAACTTGTCTTTGGCATTATCTTTTCTTTCTTCCCTGTTAATCTTCTACCTACTGCTTAAATTCTAAGGACGGTGCTTTTTCCTCTTCAGAAGCCTCTTGTATGTGAAAAGTGCACTTGATCTGCACCTAATTCATTGGATTACAAATATGGAATAACCATTCATTCAGGAAATCTAGACGTCTAGCAAAGTGGTAGGAGCTACTTTTCCAAACAGACTATTGATCATCAAGAAAACCAAGGCTAATACTCTGCATTGTTCAGCGTTAATAAAAAGGCCAAGAGTTCACAAGACATGAGAACACTCACACACAAGATACACTGGAGGAAGGGTTTCATAACCTCAGAAGCCTAGGCTTTTAAGATGTCCAGGTGGCAACAGTTGATACAGTTTTGGTTTACTAATAAAAGCAACATTTTTTTCAACAACTTTACAAAGGCTGATCAATCCAGGTAAGTATGGGGCAGGATGATTCTCCAAGCTCACAAAGGGTAACAATGAAACCAGGACCACTTCTTTTTAGCCACAACATACTCCTTTTTAGTAAAGGAAATTGAATTCCTAACAACCTCATGGCAGCTAGGAAGGGACTAATAGTGTATATGTTCTGCTACAGGAAGTGTCTGAAAAAAAGCTACAGTGTAAGTGACCGTAACGTAATTATTTTGTCCTGTAGTGTAATAAATGCCCTATTGGAATTTGAGCAAACTGGAAAGCAAGCATACTGGCAAATACAGCCATGCGGAACTTAGGATGCTCAGGGCATCATAATCTGTAGCAGAAAGAACACTCAAAGCCAACATCCCCAGCAAACCATTAAGAATAACTTCACCTCCTGTAAGTTTAAAATAAAAGTATTTTGCATTTAATTTTATAGCCAAGTATTTTGTGCCAAAACAAAGAGCTCATTAGTTCAGTTTTGCTTTCCAAATATGCTTGTGTCTGGGGAAATGAAAACTGGGTATCTTACCATTGTGACTGATTTCACTGGGATGTGTGCTTGGGAAGTGCCAGCCTTCAGTTCATTCCAGTCTGGAAATTTAATTACTTCCTTTCCACATGAAAGTTTCTTTGGATATGACTTCAGCGGTGAGGAAGGAGGAAATCTACAATGACAGAATATTTTTAATGCCTCTGAACTCCACCATATTCCGTATTTGCCAATGCAAAAACCATAGTAGGCCTTCACATGCAAAAATACAACAAATGCCTTGGACATTCACTATGACTTACTTGCCTAAAGACTAGTGTTGAGTGACATGTAGAACATCCTAAGGTGTTTTGTTTGGCCTCTATCTCCTGCTCCAGAACAATTCAGGTCCTTTTTACTTCCCATGGCATAGCTGAGCCCTGGGCGAATGTCTGATATCCCAGCCCCGCTCAAATAGCACCAGCTGCCTATGCATAGACAACTAACAGGTGTTCACTAGAAGACATTGATTCTGCTGAAAAAGCTGTGGGTAGATTTTCCCCACATCAAGTACACTGCTAGCATGCATCTCCTAAAGCAAAGCTATATAACCAAGTCACATGACTAATGCTTTGATTTAATCAGCAGGCATGCAAGTGTCCGCACAAAGTTTTGTCCACATTAGCATGTTCTTCTGTGTTCACATGATTTCTATGTGAAGATCATATCCTGCGGTTCTTTTCTGGAGTCTTTTTCCAGCTGGTTGTGCAGGAAATCCATTCACTTTTTAAGGCATTTCAAGAAGTGCCTTGAAGAAATTAGCAGAAATGAACCCTAAGCTAGCCCCTTGCAGAAAACAAAGAAAACAAACTATCCCAGATTACATTCAGCTCAGTCACATCTCCAGCTTGACCAGAATTAAATTACTGCCAAACCTAGGTTGGAGCATGTACAAAGGAACTAATGGCAGCACATCAGAAAGACAAATCTGTTCGATGGCAACGTATCAGACTGGCCCAGATCAGATCTTGTTTACCTGCACTCCTAGGTTTTAGATGCTGAGATTCCTGATGGTTTAAGAAATTGCTCCAGCTTCACACACTCTTTTAATCAGAATGTAAAAGACATGTCTGTGACCATGCAACAAAAGCTTCTACACCACTGGATAGCATGCATATATATCCTACCAGAAAGATTCTCATATTCAAGAAATCCTCAAATTTCATCTAAAATTTCACCCCATCCTCTCAAGGCAGTTCCAACATGTAATTAGTTTTTAAATTAGTTTTATATTGCAGTTTTGTTAGTCCAGTAATATTATATTGCATGAGCTAAACACAGTATGGTTTTGACCATGCACACCAAGCCCGTTTGACGTATTCCACAACTCTCTTCAACAGAGTATCTGCAACACCAGGAGATATCACTTCCTTCAGACAAAGCCTGAGGAGAAGTAATAAGCACCTTGCAGTAATCCTGCAAGATTTACTCTGACTTTTAAAAGTAATCCAGATTATATTGCAGATGTTCAACTGTTGAGTGTTCTCAACTATTTTCAGCTATTCGTTATTTCTTACACTTTAATGTTAAAACATCTGCAGTCTTTTTTTCCTCTGCCTTACAGTATTCTCAACAGTTCCCTGTTTCTCCTCCAGTTCTCCACAATTTTTAGCTTTATGTTATTTGCTGCCCTGAATCTCAACCAACCAGTAAATGAATGAGTTCTTACAAACAGAAAAAGGAGGTGCATTCCCCTTCTTCAGGTAGCATTACAGCGAGATCTAGATAGTGTCAAGTTCTTGGATGAACAATGAAAAGCCTCTGATTTTATGATGAACAGAATAATGTTACCAAAAGATAGCAACTGCAGAACACGCCAAGGTTGACATGCCAAGATTAGCACGGTTTACAGACAGCAATATTAGTTTTAGCAGTTTATACGAGGAGTAAAGAGTGATACCTGTTTGTGTCCAGCGAAACAGAGAACAGGGTCAACTAACCTTAGTATCAATGATATAACAAGTATCATAGCAGAATTCCTATAAGTTTAACAACAATGCAAGAGTAACTAATCCTTTTGCTTTTAATACAATTGCTTAGATTCCAAAAAAGGTAAAGCCTGACAGCTTCCAAGACTGTAACTTCTCATTTATTATTGTAAACTACACTGAGCCAGTAAGTTAGGACACACAGATAGTCTTTGCTATTTTTAGAAGCCACACTAGTTCTCACCTTCACATTTAATACTTGCCCAATACTCACAGGCAAATTAACATTTGGTAACATCTCTTTTGCATACTCTGTGGAGTGAACAAAAGCAAAAAACTACACTTGCATGCAAAGTTAATGAATGCCACAACTGTGCACCACGGTGTACAGTTACAGTAAGTTAACACAGGAATTTATAGTAAAGGTATGACACATACAAAGGTTTCCATAGTAGGCACTGTCAGTGAAATTAAAAGCGACTTGTACTGCTATCCATATCAACACGACCAGAAATGGGTTTACAACGTAACATTACGAAAGTCCACCAGAGGGAGCTGCCAGGACACTAAACAGATTAATAAAGACGGGCAGCACTACCGACGTTTGGCTCCACAAACAGGAGAAAAGCGTGGTTTAGTGCTTAAAGCCAAACACCAAAACCGTAAGTAGCATACATAGTTTATTTATGCATCAAGCCCAGTGGGAAAAAGCTGGCTCCAACCCAAGGTGCATGAAAGGTATGCAGTTTTAGTAAAAGAACTGTTCAATCAGTAACTTGGTTATCTTTTGAAAGGGAGGTGGAGAAAGAACATCATTAAACCAGCTATAACAAGAGAGCTGTCTTGTCCAGTAGCAGATCATCAGGCAGAGCACATAGAAAATGGAAAGCACAGAAATATTTCACCCAGCCAAATTCCACAGCCTGCAGCTTCCCACAGCCTGCAGCTCAGGAAAGTCATGGCTGAAAATACAAAGGAGAAAAGAACAAAATAAGTTGAATGTGTCACTATGCCAATGTAAAACAAACAAACAAAACCCCACAACCACACAAACACAACAAAGCCAAACCAAAGAGATATAGCATAATAACAATGGTTACAAAAATCCATATTTAATCTTTTGACAAGGAGTTAATGCCAAGAAAGAAGACAAAGTACTTAACACCTATGACACAAGTTAACAAAAAAAACCAAACAACTGTGCAGGTAGTGCTGTTCAAAGAAGACTAGACAGAGCAGAACTGGGCTAGGAACTTACCAAAACAATAGCACACTTGCCACCACGTGGTATTCCAGCACTTAACTGCTTTTCTAACTCTGTTTAAACAAGTAAAAAGCCCACTGCACACCACTCCTTTACATTTAACCTCCTCAAGGCTGAAGTCAAGATGTAAGATCCTCTGCAGCTTTCTTGTCTTTCATGCCTGTTTTCCAACCTGAATTGGTTGATGACTAGGTAATCTATCACAATATCTTGCTCTTCTATAACAGCCATAAGCAAATGGCCAGAGAATAATTTAAGAACAGGACAAACATACGTGATACTGCCTCAGCATCCTTTCCCAGCCTTTGGTCATGTTCAGCTCACAGGCTGCAGAGCCATATATTGTCTTTAGATACTGAGCAACAGACTTTCTTAGGTAGGCATCTTAAAATATCTTCAGATACAAGTCCTTGATACACTAAGTCCTTTGAATTTGAGTCCCAAATTCTAAAATTTAATATTTTTTTTGTTACATGGAATTTCCCTTTATGGAGCTAAGTTTGGAGAGAACATTCATTTTTTGTTCCCCCCAAATTATTTAAAATTTCTTCCCTTAAAGCTGATTGAAATTGGTTTGAATATTTAACTTATTTGTCAAGGAAGCTGTAGCATTCAGTGTTGTTTCCTTCACAAGGCACGTTAAAAACCAGCTACCGCTTTTACTGAAACATGTCATGCAGTATCATAAAGAACAAGTTGAATCAGTGCTAATTTGTTAATGGAATTAAACACAAAACCGATCCAATCTGCCTGTATATCAACTGAACTGCAGTGGAATAAGTTTAACATAAACCACGGTTCTTTCATAAGTATCTTGACCTAAGTTTGTCTATGACAAAGTAAAATAATTATGTCATACATACCTCTTACTTTTAAAGTATTTCAAGTTAATAAATAAAACTAGGAGAGTAATCAACAACTGCACTTACAGCACAGGTGTACAGACTAGACAGAAAAAAAGCTTACGCACACTCTACAAACAAACTAGTTAAGTTCATAGATCAAAATGAAAAATTGACTTCATGCACATCAAGTGGAATTTCAGTATTATATACATTTTCCCAAAGACAATATTAAGAAGTCATTACAAAAAAAGTAATACGTAAAATTTCTTTAAGTATATAATAATAGATATAATAAGTAGAAACAGCATTATTGCTGACCTTTTTTCCCTATTGCTCTGCATGAAGATAGCTCCTGTTTTGTCAAAGAAGACTTACCACAATATAAGTTATAAATCCATACTTAAAGTAACGGTCATTTTTACACCACTTTTTCTCTGAACAGGACACCACAAGATGGTACAAATTCAGAACATGCAACTTCTGGATACCCAAACCTTAACTGAGGTCACAAGATGTTGTGACCCACTTCAGTAATGCTAAGCTTTCATTACAAAGACAATTATTTTCCTCTGTTAACAAGCCACTAGTTGAGAGGTTAATAGCGATAAGTAAGCAAGCATTCTTGAGGATAAGCAAATAAAACTTTGTCTCTTTGAAGACAATTTCAATCTCCAACCCAAGGAGTATAAAAAAAGGTTATATCATTAATGACTTCTAAATTCAGTAGTCCTTTCTCTTCTCTTCTCTCAGAACAAGTAGAAACAGCATCCAAAATAGTCAGCAGGTTGTGGGAGAGGGAGGACAAGTGGAGTTGGATGCTCAATGGCATCCTCACTTCCATCAATGTCTTCTTGATATACACTCTTCCAGCTCTGACAAACCTGATGTCTACCAACAGCAAACAGAACTCGCTGTGTGTAAAAGCTGCAAAAGTTTTTGTTAGTATTCATAGAATATAATTGAGTAGTAAAAGTGCCCTTCAAAAACATTTAAAAACAAACAAGTAAAAAAAAAAAAAAAAAAAAAAACACAACTAACCAAAACCAAAATCAAGCCACACATTAAATCATGACAGTTGATTATAACTAAAGAGAATAAAGTTTTTTAAAGGAAGAGAAGGAAGACACATTAACACCTTTCCAAAGACGTTCTACAAAAGCATTTGTAAGACTAATGAACAAGAGTTATTATTGCTTTTCCAAAAACCAAAAATTTTAGTCACTGTTTATAGGTTTACCTATATAAATGGCCATCATCTTGAAAGTCCTCTTTGCCCCATCTTCCTTTAATATCTTCAATAACATGATTTTTCAGGAACTTTTTTAGCAGCTTAACCGTTTGATTGCGAGTCACTTCTGGGCCAAAATTTTGGTTAGAGCCAAGTAGTTCATGTAAACAGTCCACTGCCTCTGAGGCTTTGAAGCAACGCTCGTAGCTTTTGAAGCGGCACCGATGCTTCCGTAAAGGCATCCCAGCACGAAAAAGTTCTATTATCTCGTTCCACTAGGGAAGAACAATGCAAACCGTTACGGGAGCTCTTCTCCTAGAAGCATTTCAGTTGTACACAGCGAGAGCAGAACGCAGCCGAATTTGAACGCAGAACTACGTGCTTTTTTGGTCGACTGCATTTACAAGCACACTGAAAACTAAAACTATGATTTAAACAGCTGAGATCTGAGAACAAACACCAGCTTTAGAAAGCTGAAAGATCTAAAGCCTCATACTACCTACGGCTCTACTGATACCGTTTTAACCTCCCCTTGGCTTTTAACTTGACAAAAAGCTGGACTAAAGCTCCACTCC